TCTTCCTTTTTGAAAGTATTTCGTGATTGGTCCCCGAAAGGATCAAAACATTCATAATTATCTTCACTTTTCTCTTGTTCAATCAGATACACAACATGATTACTTTTAAGTAGGACGAACTGATTATATTTACACTTGTCAAAAGTCGACAAGTTTACAAATGTAAATTGGCGATAAATACGGTTTTGTTTCAGATGATTATGAATATTATTAATTTCCTCTTCTGAAAGCCTAGAAATTTTTGATCGCTGTTCAAAAACATTACCAATAGAAAACATATTGTTCTGTTCAGTGGGAACCCATATGCGATAATTTCTAAAAAAAACAATAATTAAAGCTATCGAAATTAGAAAGTATTTTATAACTTACTTAAAAAATTTATTACTAATATCTTCACCTGATTGTTGTCTCATCCATGCAAGAAGAGCAATTAAATCAGATTGGCGCACAAAATTCCCATTGATTCTCTCTTCTTTTTGTTCATCGATCAACTCCTTGATGCTAAATCGATCATCGACATTCAATAGAATTTGAACAGATTGGTAGCAATCGAATTTTGTTGAAGAATGCTGTGTAGTTTCGAATAAATGATAAAATATATGAGGCGTGTACAGAAAGATATCACCATCTTTCACCATAGATTGTGGTAGTATTTCCCGAAAGAGTCGAAAGAATGCTTCACTAACGAGTTGTTTCTCGAATAGAAAACATTCTCCTTCTAGCAAATGATACAATGCTAGACATGCTGGTTGAAATAGAAATTGACGAAGAAGAAGCAGAAATTTAGAAATATGATTAAAGTTGATTGCATCGATTTCTGACTCCGATGGACTTAAAAATGCAATCTTTAGAACTCTCAATGAAATAAGGAATATTGCCATGGCCATTTTCATTTGTAACACAAAACCAAACAGTTGCCAAAAATCATGAGCCAGAAATAGTTCACTTTCTTCTGCTTTTTGGTAATTAAGATAGTTTGTTTCAAATTGACGTTGACATTCAAATAGATAAAAATCTGGAACTTTGTTTTGGGAGTCGTTATTGCGTTTATGTAGTTTCAAGTAATTTGTAATTAATTCCTTCGATTTCCAAAGGTGCATACGATGATTGAAGAGAATTGGAAAAGTTTTGGTAAACGAGAATTTTTCATCAGTAAGAAGTTTAGAAAATAAATCCTCCAGAGTAGCATTGTCGTTCATATTATATTCAAACTGTTCACCAGCCAATGTTTGAATACAAATACTTAGAGAAACTTGAGATACGCTTTCTTCCAATCGAAGCTCGGTGCCTGACTTGAGACCATATTCATGAATTGTTCGTGATGGCAACAATCGATCGTTGTTATAAAACAGATTGAAGGACTTAGTCGTATGACTGTCAAAATCTTCCTTTAGCAAATTAATGAAGTCTTTAACCTTCATTTCAGGAGCAGGTATAGGACATCTATTTGATTGTCCATGATATATGATAGTCAAGTAGTTGTCTGCCATTTTCTATTTGAAAAACAGAAAGGAAACCGCGTGTAAGAAGTAAATCTGAAGAATCGTTAATATAAATTTATAATGTAAGTAAAAGATCTATCTACTGGACACCTTTCGAAGGGTTGAAAGGCTTTTAAATGGTTTGTGAAGGAAAAGGGATTTGACACTGTCATGGTAATTTACATCCTCGATTGAGATTTTCCCTTGCTACCATCGAAGCAAAGCTAAGGATGGGTGAAATAGTACAGGAATGAATGAAGAATATGGGTATATAAATACAGGTGAGTGTGTGAGTTTTTAATAATTGAAATAAAGGAAAATTTTTCATCCAATGTGCAATTTGGTAAAAACCGTCATTCATGGAAAAAAACCTCATGGGAAAAACGGAATAAACCGCCGAGAAATAATGTGTTATGCCAATGACGCCTTTCATAAAATCTCACGTGTACGTGGGAGTTTTTTCTCCTGGAAGTAGCAGAATGAGTAAAATGAGTCAAGTCGATGGGTGTAAACCCAGGTAAAACCTCGTCGGTGAAAACACCCATGATGTTTACTATACTCGGATATGCATTAATATAGACATAAATAAGTTTCTTGGTAGTCAATAGAAGACAATGAATCTTGGATTCCGTCGAATCAACGGATTTGTGAATAATTTAACGACTTTGCTTTGGGTAAATTGAGCAGCTATGTATTCTCATTTCGACTATAAATGAAAAACAATGAGGGTGTGGGTGTGGGTGTGGGTGTTGGTGTGGGTGTGGGTGTGTGTGGGTGTGGGTGTGGGTGGGTGGTGGCTGGGTGTGGGTGTAGGTGTGGGTGTGGGTGTGGGTGTGGGTGGGTGTGGGTGTGGGTGTGGGTGTGGGTGTGGCTGGGTGTGGGTGTGGCTGGGTGCGTGGGTGTGGGTGGGTGTGGGTGGGTGTGGGTGTGGATTGGGTTTTCGTTAGCTGATACTAATCCCAACACCGTCGGACCTACCCATACCCACACCTACATCCACACACCCACACCCTCTATTGCATCGTCAGGTAAACGTTGAAGAGTTTGACTAAGAGCAATTAATTTTCGATAAGGTGATTCATTGCCATATTCAGAAGTCTAGTGTAACTAGTGTAATATGTATTATAATCTAGAATAGTAAGTAGAAATTGAAATCATATGTATATATATTCACAGACTTTATTAGGCTAAGAAACAAAAAGAAAACAGAAAAATAAATATTTTTATTTACACAAATAATTGAGGTCTTTTCCATTTATAATGAATAATTTGAGATAACGGAAAAGTTTTCTTCTCACTTAATCGATATTGTTTAGCATCAAATTCACTAATTTGGTGATCAGAAAACAATTGCAAATGGCATAAATTTGATTTTCTTGACGATATTGAAATTCTTCTCAAATAAATTGATAATAATTATTGTTTGAATTCGACGAAAATTTACAATGGTACGTTTTTTAATTACTATCAATGCCACAATTCGATAAAGCATATTGCATACTTCTGTTAAGCCACTCATCAAAAACAAGAAATGGTGCTGTTTGTAATGAATATAGTGCATCCTTTGATCTCATGTGATGAACTAAAGAACGTGGAAATGTCAATTTATACCAATCTTAAAAATGCTCATGTAGATCAATTAAATTTAATTGGTTCAAGTCCTTTTCGTTGAATAATTCATATTGATAAAATGTTGATGACTTGTCTTTTGGATTACCCCTAGCAAATACATATTTATTCGGTGAAAAAATTTCTTTGAATAGTTGTATTATTTTTTGCTCTTTAGTATAATCTCGTGTTCTTGTTGTAAAATTAGATTTGAGGTATAAAACTTCAACAAGAAGAATCAGCGGTGAATGTTTAAAAGAACTGAATTATATGTGTATTAATGATGGTATAGATTTACTGACCCATGGATATGGGTCTATTTAGTGTTGTGTATCAAGAGTAATGTTAAATGTTTCAGAAGCTATCTTATGACATGATTTAAAATTTCTGTTGATGTCTGCTTACGTATAAAGATTAAATTATAATTCTGTAGTGGTTCAAATAATTGGTAATTTGGATAATATCGATCAACTAAATCTTGATAATGTTGATTTTTCAAAATGTTTTCTCGTTGATAACGTAAATTTCGTCGATCTAATCGATCTAAAGATGATTCCATTTGACTTAGGAATATTGATGAATTCATCTAAAACGAAAACAGAAGAATTGAAAAAAAAACATCATGAGTTGTTACAAGGACAGAGGAATAATGGCATATGGCGGTAAATGGAATGTACTTATTCAAGCATATAACAATCAAAGTGATTAAATAGATGAGAGAAGAAAAAAAACATGAACAAACATTAAATTGTGTCTTTTGCAAAGTACAATTTCATACATAGGACAAGCGATATTTTGGAGTTAAATAATGATTTATGTATGGGATAGTTGAATAGTAAACAGGCGGTTCATTTTGATTCGGGATCAGAATCTATAAAATATAAATAGGTTTAATGCAAACTATGCTAACATAAGTTTATTTTTTGTCTTAGAGAGAAAGAATTTATACTTTTTATCTTTTCATCTGGTCACTTCCATTTGATGATGAAAACTGTTGCATGTTTTGCATTGACATAGTATATTTCTTTTTGGCAAATGAGTTTGTCATAGAAGCAGCTAAATCATGACTGGTTTTAGGTCGTTTTTCAACAAAGAAAATTTTTTTTGACTTTCATTGGTCAATATAATGTAGAATTGCCAATAGCACGATTAGTATTAAAAATGTCATAAGGAGTATTAAGATAGGATACAGGGTGGGTGTGGGTGTGGGTGTCATTCTTCTCTGCATTCACATCCACACTCACGCCCACACACCCACACCCACACCCACACCAACACCTACACCCACAGCCACACCCACGCCTACCCACAGCCACAGCCACAGCCACACCCCACACCCCACACCCACACCCACACCCTTATTACTCACTTCGAGGAAAACTTATACATAATATATCATCTTATATTCTATCTCCAGCTGAAGAACGCTTACTATGCAGAGGATGGGATTTCTGTATTGAAAACAAAATCACTAATTTCATTGAGCTTAAGGGGGAACCCCCCCACAGAAAGTCGATTTTTCTTAGAAAATTCGATTTTTCAAAAAGCACATATTCTTGTAGCCCTGAGTGTCCTCTTTCAGAATATATATAAATTATATATGAATGAGACATATTTAGGCCAATTTTGGCGCCTTTATTTGAAGCACTAGCGGAAATAGTCTAATTTTAGTGACTTTTTCCTTAGTTACCATGAACTAATATCGTTCAAATTTTTCCTTTAGCATTATAAAACCATGCTGCTATCAAATAACATGTTTAGAAGCTGTTTGAGCGCTTGTACAAAGATTTTGAAAGTTATTTTCGTGAAATGAAAACTTTGTGTATCTAAGCACTAGCCATTGTTTAGTTTTATCACCATAAGTAGGGATGCAATAGTAGCAATTCACTACTAGAGTAGTGATACAGGTTGTTATTGATCAGTACCAGTACTGGACAATACTTGAGATGACCAGTATCGATATTGACCAGTACCAGTACTGGAAAATACTTGAGATGACCAGTATCGATATTGACCAGTACCAGTACTGACCATTACCAATACTGACCAGTAACGATACTTCATTGCTGAAATAATGCTTTTATATGGCTTCCTAGATGATGAAAACCAAATCATAGCGATCTTATTTTAATACGAAAAACGAAAAATATTATTTTTACGATATAATGAGAACAAAAGAAAAATAAAAAAACAATTGTTACATGGCAAAAAGTTCGATAAAGCTGTCCAATGTAAATGATACTGTCGGTTGCTTGTAGCAAACATAATCACGAATGTCGCCCGGGTACCGGCATCGAATAATTTGCTTGATTATTGGTGGCCATTCGTACGTTTCATTGTTTTTGTTCGTCAATTGTTTATATTTACGTTTTGCCAGTACTAATTGATACAATTCTCTATACAGTTCATGACGAGATTGAACATCATCCGTATGATCCAAAACGTTTTCTTGAGGTGCTTTTGTCGATGGTATTGGAACGGTGACCATAGTAGGTGGATCGTCGTATTCATCGCTGTAATCGCTGTTTTCACTTTCATCGAGGCTATATTCTTGCATATTATGTTGTTCATCATCATCACCGTTGTTCTGAAATAAAAAGTGCTACTGAGTCAAAAAGCATTAGTTATGTTTTCATAGAGAACAAAAATAAATAAATCTGCAAAATGGCATGGCAAAGTGGATTCGATATCCGAACAACGCACGGTATTGTTGGCACTGTTTGTTGATTGCGTTGCTGTTGGAGCAGTTGAAACGGGCTCCAGAATAGCAGCAAGTTCCGAAGGAAATGGAACCTTTTTCCGCTCAAATGCATTTTTCAAATAATTGTACGATATTAGAAAATTATTCATTACTCTTTAGATCTGAAATTTTTTCTAAATCATGAAAGGAAATGAATGAAGATGCATGTTTCATTGTCTCTGAAATACAAAGAGAGCTAACCTACAAAGTCAAACAAAATTTGTTCGAAAATTCGAAGAGATAAATACAAAAAAAGATAAAAATATGTCAAAAAGCACCGGGAATATATGCATCGTCGGAAACCATCTCTACCATTTCGTCCTGAAGTTTTATTTCTGATGTAGATCTTTTTTTTCTTTTCGCTTTCTTCTTTTCTCTTTCTTCACGATCTTTATCCAGTCTTTTGAAAATCAAGCTAGAATAATAACCATTTGAACCACCTAAAGAAAAAGACATGAAAGACGAAGTGAGTGAAAAAAAAATTTACCACAAATACCACATAAGTTCTTCAATAGCTTCAGCAGAGCTTGATGGCCATCATTGAAAACAATCACGGAAAGGCCCACACATATGCCCATTATAGTTCCCGATGAGTAACGCCTCTTTGGAGCCATACTCCATAGTATCGAGTGAAAGGACTCGTTGGGGTTCTGAGTCGATCCATGAAGAACTCGCTTGAGGATTTCAGC